TTAAAAAAACTTATGACAAGAGCAATGCTTTAGTTCCCCAGATGAGGAAGGTCTCCAGGCTGCAACCACACCCGGCTTTGGGAGTATGATAACAAACTGAACTGTCAGGGACTTCTGTGCTGCCTTTGCAATGGTAAATCACTTTATCTACTTTCCATTAATGCGGGCTTCTTAAATAGATGCTAAGTTTAGTACCCCACTGATATTACCTGTTCTGAAGCTTAATAGCCTAAGTATGGAAGGGAGGGGTAGGACTACTCCAATTATCTGCTTTTTACTAAGGGTAGGACAGCCATTCTTTCTGTAATTGGGCCCAAATGATAATAGACAACACAAAACTCTGTACTGATTGGGAAAACAGTTATACATAAACTTTGTGTCACTCTGCCTTATACTACATGAAGTAGTCCTTTTTCCACTTGACTTGAATCAGATGGCTGAATTCTCTAAACAGCCGTTATTTAGCTCTGCAGAGAACTGGTAAGGAGGCATTTATTTGGTTCAGAGGTGTTGGACAATGAAAGAATATAAACATTGAACAACAGCAACTCTTGGGGCCCGATGTTGGTTACCCATGAATTGAAAGATGAATGCGTTGGACTAATGAAGATAAGGACACTCTGCAAAAAAATATTTAGAAAGATTGTGGAGTTAAAATGATACGCCAAAAATGTGGCAAGAGGATTACAGGTGGTACCAACAACAGCCTAAACCAGTAGAACAAAGCAGGATGAAACCATGCTTTCATTTTGTTTATGCCAAATTCTAACCCCGCATCTGAATTTTGCAGGTAAAGTTGAAACTAGATGATAAATTAATTTAGTTTTTGTCCCATTATGGGGAGCCTGTGTTTTTGTAGCATTGGTTTTCCTATCTTAAGAGAAGTACAGTCACCAGCCATGGCCTTCTGCTGCTGTAGACTGTCCTCTCTAAAAGGCATGCTGTATATTTAGAGATAATATTCTGCACCTCCATTGAAACAGGAAGTTATTTAAGACTCTGATGCATTTCTCTCATCTCGAACCAGTCTAAAAATTCTCTTTAGATCTCTGACATAATCAAACCACTTCCATTTCAGACATGTGAGAACTGTATATTGAACGAGTATTGCTAATAAAGTGGGTGTATAAAAACTGAGTCAATATCAGCGTAAATTTTTTCTTTTGAACTTGAACTACACTACACTAAAGTTTTTTCAACTTTGAATTTTAGTAACAGCAAATACTTTTTTTGATCATTGATAAACATGAATAACGCCCTAGGATAAGATGAACACAGCATTCATTTTCCATGCATTTTCCTTGGGCAACATCTTAAAAGTGATGTTAAATTTGTGCACAATTTAGGCACATTAAACTTTTTCACTTTACGCATCTTTTGCAGGGTTTTGTTTCATGGCCAATGGCAAGGCCTCTCCTCCTCTGCTACTGCTGCAAGAGCCCTACTTTAAACAGAAAAAAACTGTTAAGGCAAAGCCATTGATTTAAGTTCATTAAATTTCCTGTTAACAAGCACATAATGAAGCATCGTATTGCAGGCTAATGCAGTCTGACTTCCATCTACAGCAGCAGCTAATGGTGCTGTGTGACTTTGTCAAGCAATCAATAATTTGGTGTCTCTGTGAACTCTGCTGCCTTGCACACTATGATGTGACGCAGTGCCATGGAGATGGAGAGACACGCGTTTTTCTGGTACACTCTGTCTGCCTTCACTTGCTCTGTGGAGGCTGAACATCATTCAAGATTGTCTTGACATTTTCTGAAACCTCTCCTTCTGCTTAAGTGTGTTCCAATTTGTTGCATGTGAATGGATGCCGCTTCAAACTTGGAATGCCTCTAGACGGCAATATACTCAGACTAAATGGAAATTGAAAATGAAATAATATGCATGCAGGGGTTGATGTGTGAAGGTATATATAAAAAGGTTGTGCCATCATAAAAAAAAAAAGCTGCGCAAACAATGCTAAATAACAAGGCATATTATTGATGATTATGAAAGACTTAACAAGGATGGGTCTTAAGAGATATGCGGTGTGCATTTTTCTTTTTTTTCCTATTGAAATGAAGCATCCCTCTTCCTTGGAGCCTGTCCATTTGTAGTATAACAGACAGGTGTTACAAGCTTTCTGACAACCTATCAGAATTCAGAGAAGGGCAATCAATACCAAACTGCTGCAAGAAAAACAGTGACCGATCCATGAGTCCCTGCTGATACAGCAAACCGTTGCAAAGGGGAAATAAAAAGTGTGGCTGGCACAGACTGACACGCCCCACTCAGACTCCCGCATGGCAAACACACAAACTCCAAGGTTTAGAGGCTTGGACACTTACCACACTTTGATACACAAACACCTGCATGAACAGATTCACAGACACTGACAACAACACATGCCTCCAAACACAACCCCGGAAGAGGCTACAGTAAATGAACCTCACAGGCGTCCAAACCGCCGACATCAATCAGGCACACGTTCGGCTCCCAATGGGCGCCGAGTCGCATCTGTCTGCTAAAGCAAGTGCTAAACAATTCCAAAGCGATGGAGAGCATTTTATGCAGCGTGCCAAACAGGTTGGCTCTCTTCCCTGTTCCTCCCAACTTGTGTTGTTTACTGAATTTGTAAAAAATTGTGAAACTGACTGCTTTCTTCACATGAGACTTTGAGTTGGGAAGATTTACCAACGCACATGAAAGATGTTGTATGGTGTGCACAGCTGAGCACCACCACCTCCGGTCTCATGTTCCACCTGGGAGTTTAGTTCCTGTGAATGCTGGCCAATACATTTTCACAAAGCCCTAGGGCTTCTCTTCCCTTGGCAGTGAATAAACGGGCCCAGGTGCTCAATAGAAAATCATGCCCCAAAAAGAATACATATATGCATACAAGTACGTACATACGCACATGCTCTACATGTGGATCTCTACATGGATGTCCATAAAAACAGGACTGGGTTGTAAGAATTCAACTCTTTTAAATGAAATCCTGGAAACAGTGCCTGAGTTGGTATAAGTTGTATAACGTGTAACAGATTAGCTGCTATCCTATGTGTTTCTGCGCACTGCCGGTCAGCTGGCTAAAATAAGACTGTCATATTTTTCTCTTGCTTACGAAAAAGGATGATTCTTCTGTTTACATTATGTTACATGTGATTGTTAGTTGCAGCTCTAGTTTCTACTGTAGCTTTAACAATGTTTAAATGTAGAAATGTTAAAGCAGCTACGTAATGTCATGCAATTTGTTCACTTCTTTTCGGACAAGGTCCTACTGTAAAATGAATTATTGTCCTTCATTTAGATAGAGTGTTACCAATAAGACAAGTGAGGACAGTTTGTTTCACGAAGATGTTTCGTTCAAAAAGTGAATTCACAAAAATATGTACTTATGCAATACTATTTTAATGGTTAAAGAAGAGAAATTTAATTAACTGATCCAGTCTGTGTTTAAAAAAGATACAACGAGATGGCTTTACACCATTATGCTGACCTCACAATAGCATTACATTAAAAAAAAAGTGTATATATAAGTTTTATTTCATGTTTATTGTGATAGATCTATGGTTGTACCGGTGTTAATGAAATGCTATAAAACCCAAAAAAAATAAAACATGTGAAACTTTTCCAACCCGATGTATGCCTATGACAGAATCCAAACATTACATACGCTGTGAATAAGCCTACAGCCAAAAGATCAAACTGATAGGAGACAACTGATCAAACAGCTTGTACTGAGAGCAAGCTTTTATCAAGGACACCATATGCTTTCTAATATGTCAGATTCTATAACATGTGAGTTAAAAATGGTTTTGAGCAAACAGAAACAGTTTGTGTCACTTTGTAAACACAGAGCTGCATATTTGATAGAAGTACAGTTTGTGTTTTTTCATTTTTTTTCCCAAAAGTATAGTCTGACTTTTCCAGTACCAGTGATTGGTGTAAAACAAATAACTTTTGAAGAATACGTTCACAGCTGTCTTACTGCCTTAACACTAAGGGCTAAAAAACACCCAATTCTGCAAAGGAGAAATCCCCAAATATGCACTTCAAACTATATGAAATAAGCCACGCAAAGATCTGGCAACCGTCTGTGTAAGTTGTTTGTATTTTACGCTGATATTGATAAGTCAGCAAGACTGTGAAGTATCAGACTAGTGCAAACCTGATTACTTAGCAAGGACTTTTTACACAGGCCTACATGCTTCAGCAAATCAAAGACTGTCAGCATCTCTCAGTGTGACGGCGGGATGCAGGATCGCATGTGACAAGCACACTCTGTGCAACTGTGACAAAACAGAGCCTGTTTCCAATGGCTGCCACATTTCTCCAAACATCAGAATTAAAGTATCAAAGCAGACAGATGAGTTTTGTGTGTTTGTCTCGCCCGGAGGGACAGGAGGATGCATGTCTGGCCAGGCGCCTGTAAGCTCAGGAAGCTGAGCCTCAGTAATACACAGTAAGGCTGCAGTCTTGACAGGGCACAAATCTGAGGCCTTATCCTCAAAAGCACAGAATGACTTTCCTGTTTAACCTAAAAGGAGACGAGTCATATCCAAGACAGCTTTAACGTCTACTTCAGAACTTTCTAAGGGTGTGTGTGACAACAACTGATTGGGCATTTTTACATAGAAAGAATTCAGTCCATTATAGATCTAGTTTATTAGAGTAAAAAGTTATCCTGCAACTAGGAAACTATTGTAAATGCATAATTTTTATTTCCAGAATGGAATCAAATTGACTGAGGAAGGTTAAATTATGCATTGTTAAATGTTAAGCTTTTTTTTTTATTGAGACTCCATAAAAGAGTTAAGTGGAGATCTCTTCACCTGGAGCTGTTTCTTAAAGGCCAGTCATTGTGCGCCAGTCTGAGTGTCATGATGACATGTGGAAATAAAGGTTCTCAGAGTTAATAACTAAATACATTCTTATCAATGATACAATCAACCTGGGTCAATCTGAACTTGTCAGGCATGGCAGGATGAGGAAATAAACTGGCATCATCTCCCTACCGTAAACTCCTTGGCTCAAAATATGAGGATACAGACTGGAAAAAAACAAGATCCAGAAGAGCTCCATATTCAGCTCAGCTCCTTCATAACCTGAGAGAAAAGAAAGAAATGTTCAGGTGAGAAAAGGATAAAAACAAAATAAGAAATAAAAGAAGAGTGACTTTTTATGTCCAGCTGTGTGTCTTTGGATCTCATAAGCCATAAAAAAATAATGTTTCAAAGCAATTTAATGCGCGCTGCAACGCCTACAGCTCTTCATTCAATTTAAAGGGCGGGTAATTCAATCAGGACACCCTGGATTATACGCAGCTTAAAAGCGGCACTGTCTCTTCAGAGATTGACGGGATTGTGTGAGTCTGATGTTTAGTTTGGCAACATTTTTTCTCTCTCCAGGTGTAGTCGGAGCGGAGGATTACATCCTAGTGAGGACAAGTAAGCAACCTATGCACTTTTTTTTCTTTCTTTTCTAATCCCCCTATAAATGAAAATTGATCTTTGGTGTGAAATGAAAATGCGGATAATGTTGCAGATTTGAGTTCCGAATCTGTTGGGGGAAAAAAGGAGTAGATATGAGCTCCGAAGATAATAAATCCTCTGTCAGTGCCCTGACCAAACAGGAGGATTTCCTGCCTTATATTTTAGATTTGGGTGGATCTGTGTCGGTAGACTAAAGTAAGCTGTGATAATAGTTTTTTTTGTTTTTATCATGTCCGGTGATTAAAGTGAAGATTAAAAAAGTGATTCAAAATCCCATCAATTGAATTCCTTTATAAGATTTTGGAATATTACTAGAGAGATTGCCAACTTTGATGTTATTTAGTAACGGTGAATTGCTTTTTGTTTTGTTTTTTTCGCGTCAGCAAACAGTTTTCATTTAAAAAGAAACTAAAACTAATGAAACATTTGAGACAGACACAAGCCGCGTCTCTCTACCTTGTATCTGAAGGCGCTCCGCACTCCGCAGCAACAATTCCTCCTCTTCTCCAAACACACCAGTTGAAAAGTTATATCCTCCTCCTGTCAGAGCGCAACAATTGTAGGTTTAAAGACAAAACTCCAGTCGCGCGCTCCAGAATAATTTCCAGTTCAACTTTTTTGCTTGTTTTTTTTTTTTCTTTGTTTCTTTAAGTCCACCAGAAAATAAGACACTATTGCAGCTGACCATGGAGTATTATCCTCCCAACTGTTAAAGTGACAAAAAAGCCTTATAAAAAGAAACGTAAGAATCCTTATAAAAGAGATAGAGAATTATTTCCTACACATTTACTGCTCTCATTTTATTTACTGAGAAAGGCGTGGTTGAATTTCTGCCTGTCTCCTTGTTTGGCCGGTGACTAAATGATGCGCTCTGGGAATGCGCTTCCCTCTCCGTTTGTTCAATCAGCTCTGTGTCTGTAGAGTCCGGGGGATGCTGGCCAAGTGGAATGTGCGCAGACTGAGAACGACCGCCCCTGTCTGTGCGGGGAGAGAGAGGGAGGCATGGAGAGAGAGGGAGGCATGGAGAGGGAGGGAGGAAGGGAGAGAGAGGGAGGCATGGAGAGAGAGGGAGGCATGGAGAGAGAGGGAGGCATAGAGAGGGAGGCATGGAGAGGGAGGGAGGGAGGGAGGGAGGACCGGAGCGGGGATGCGCTCAAGCTTCACGGCTCCAAACTGAGCAGGTTGTCAAAGACGCATCTCAGCTCCACTCCCAGTTTGTTTTTCACTGTCGCTTCCACTGTGCGCCTTTAATAACCGAACTATTCTGTCTCTTTTTGGGTCTTTTTTTTAATCTGTTGTTCCACTTTTTTAAATTTGATATGGAAAGCGCGTCTAAAACTTCTTTACAATAATGTTGAATCTAAAGACCACCAACCTCACTGAACATGCTATTTATGGCAGCAATGAACAGATAGAAAAAAAGAACAAACCCTGGGTTTAACCAGTCCCCCGGTGCGCACACAGAAAGCCCCTCTCCTTCTCCCTCCCTAAACTCTTCGGTTCTTCCCGAGAGCGTGTGACTTCCACACGGGACCGCAAGGGGGCGTGTTTCAGCCTACCGTCACGACTAGAGCAGATATCGGGTCTTAATCATTCTGGTGTGTTACTGAAAATATACTCCCTGATATTTTTAAAGCTGACTTTTATACATTCAAAATAATTTTAACAAATAAAAAAAAAATCGACCAGAGGAAAGGGTTGATGGGTACAAAATAAATAAGAACACAAAACATAACTTAAATAAAATTCTGGTCTGAAGCATTTTTATTTTAAAAGGAGAAACCAGTGTCTAAGCAACAACTAAAAAGAGAAAGTTCACTTTCTTTCCAAATTCTTGGTATCATGGACTGAATGGACCAATAAAACCCTCATTTTGGCCCCTTGAAACCTGTTGTTTGAAGGGGCCAAAATGAGGGTTTTAGCAGATCTGGCATATAGCAATTTAACATTATGAAAGTAAGAAACTAATATTTTTTTTTTAAATGGCATAGGACTGTGGACCTGATGCAACCTGAACCCCTGATATAGTACGGAGGGTACAACACCTTAAAAAAAAAAAACAATAATAAATTTGTGGTTGTGCTTCGCTGATCTGATGGCATGGTTTGTGCAAACTTGAACCGGGCCATCAGTTCAGCGAAGCAGAACCACAGCCGGAAAATCCAGGATCTCTTCTATGATGCCAGCAACACCAGGAGGATGTGGCAAGGCAAGATCACAGGGCCATCACAGTGATCACACACAACTTCTTTGGAAGGTTTGAGGCCCTAAACAGCACCCTAGCAATGAAAGATATTCCATTCCACACCAGGGAGAGGAGTACTCTGCCTACACATAGCTGAAGCGAGGAAATCTCTGAGGAGAGTTAACCCAAGAAAGGCCCCACGGCCACTGCATGAAAAGTGGGATTTTCGTCAATATACGGCACTGTAGATTGTCGTGGAACTTCAGGTTAGCGGCAGTATACATCAATTTGCAGGCTTCGACGAAAACTCCCGTAAATTGTCAGAAATTGACGTGGAATTTCTTAGGCAGTGTTCCCCCCATGCCTCCCCCCCATGGAATTCTAGGGGAGGCTTTAACATGTAAATGAACATGCTGTGAGCTATACAAATGCAAACCAGGGTTGCAGCCTGCAACCCTTAAATTTGCATTTAAGATAAAAAATAAAATGTTGTCTGTCAATATGCTCAATTCACAATTACTTAAGTGGAAAAGTTTCAAGAAATGATTCTGAGATGATTCACTTTATAACATGGCGCATTATCCTGTTGGAAGTAGCCATCAGAAGATTGGTACACTGTGGTCATAAGGACATAGGTCAGCATGCTAAATTGGTTTTAAGTGGCCCAAAGTGTGGCAATAAATATCCCCCAAATAGATGGTAGAAATAGATCAGGCTCTGTATAGCCTAATTATAGACTCTTACATTTTAGCTTGAATTGATTTATTTAATTAAAGTACGCTAGATTACTGTGTATGCAAATGTTATGTAAAAAAAATACACAAAATAATTTACTTCAAAAATTAGTTTTAATCAGAATCAGTTGGCTGTAATGGTTAATTTTTTTTTTTAGATTTCCACTTTTTTTTTTTTTTGTTATTGAATATATAAGAAAACAATAACAATCTCAAATAACAAGTCAATAACAAATATTTCAATACAAGAAGAAATATCACAACTCCTGCTTTTGAAAAATAAAATTAAATGCACAGGCTGGAACAAAGTATAAAATAAAATAAAATAAATAAAAATAAATAAAATAATAATAGTAGTTAAAGTAAATTAATCAGTGAGGACTACCAACTGAAATTCTTCAATTAACTCAAACAATTTAATTGCATTTAAATTCTGCATCTTTCTCAGACATCTTTTGAAAAGGGAAAGTTCATTTTTGAGAGCAGAGATTGGGAGGGAGCATTTTGCATAGCGACATTTATGGATATAATACTTTGTTACAATTATTAGAATATTGATTAAAAATTCCAAATTTTTTTTTCTTTAATGGATAAACCGAATTGAATGTTTTGCCAGGAAATAAAATCTAAATTTATTGTTTTAGTTTTTGGGAATATATACAAACTATGCTCTAATTTCTAGATACCGATCTGTTTTTACTATAATTTAATTTGACAAACCGGGTCTTCTCTACATTCTTTTTTCTGTTTGGTGCGATTGCAATAGCGGGTCTTGATCTGGACGGACCGGAGGGGAGCAAAAAATAGCTCAGCTCCGTATTTTGACGGTGAAGGACGGAGAAGACGTACGTGGGCGGTGACGAGCGGAGGATGTGGAACAGCTCTCATTGATTTACATGACAGACAAGTAATACAGATAGTAGGATGGACATTTTATTAGAAATAAATCATACACTGTTCAGAATACGAAACATGGGGCTGATAGTTACATTTGTGTGGGTTCCAGCACATATTGGGGTGGAAGGAAACGAGAGGGCAGATAAAATGGCAAAAAGGGCAATTAAACATTCTATTAGTTTTATAGTTAAAATAAGTAAATCAGAAGGAAAGAGTATTATTAAAGAGAAACTTATGGAAATTTGGCAAAAAAGGTGGGATGAAGATAAAACAGGAAGATGGTTTTATAAAATTCAGAAGATGGTAGGAGAAAGAAGAAATGGAAGAAGAAATAGAAAGGATGAAAGAGTGATAACAAGGTTAAGATTTGGTCATACAGGACTTAATCATACACTTTTTAAAATACAAAAACATAAAACGGGCAAATGTGATTTCTGTGATAAATATGAAACCATAGAACATGTTATATTAGAATGTCATAAATATGAAAAAGAGAGAAGATATATGAGAAGAGAGTTTGAAGACATTAAGGAGAAGGTTAATTTATTAGATATACTGAGGAAAAATTTAGGGAGTAAACACATACAAATAATTATTCGATTTCTAAAGAAAACGAAATTATTCCATAGAATTTAATTATAGTAAGTGTGTTTGTGAGTGAAGGAATGATATACAAAGCTGTGCACAAATATGTTTATATTTTTAAGTGTGAATGTTTGAATGTATGTTTAGAAGAAGTTAGGGTAGAATGTATCAGGATCAATATTTAAACCATCACGAACCACACTCCATACCAGTAAGTGGCGGTAATGCTACTAACAGTTTGTTGCCAACCGCCATAACACTCGACAAGAAGAAGAAGAAGACAGACAAGTACTCCGTACGTGAGCGGGGCGGAGCGCTGACGGAGTATGTGGAATCTGGGGGTAAAGGAGGACAAATACACGTCCGGCTGGGTGCAGCGCCGGACGCCGGACAGTGCAATGAAAATCCGGACTGTCCGCCCTAAAGCCGGACATCTGGCCACCCTATCTGCAGTCGAGCAACTTTGCGGGATATATACGAACTCGAGGAAGAGAAGACGGGTGCACAACGCCACGCTAGCGGTAAATATGTTCGATTACTGGTAGCTATGCTAAAAGCAGCCTAGCTTAGCTAGGCAAGCTAAAGACAACCTAGCCTAGCTAGGTAAGCTAAAAGCAGCCTAGCCTAAAGCTTTACTAAAGTGTATTTTTTGTGATTCACAGGAAGCATTATGCCGTCTTAACAACTCGGAGACTAATTGCAGGCGCTATGAACCGGCAGGGGTAAGGTTTAAAGAATATGCTTTCATTCTGCTGTAAAAGGACATGGATACGGATGGATACCGACCATAGCTGTACTTTTTTTTTTTTTTTCACAGACTACAGTCGCCTCACAATGAGGCGGTGACCTCCTATTTGTTTGGATTTGCACGATGTTGATAAAGACGACATTGTGTGTAAGTGACTTGTTTTAATGTTTTCTCCTTCCTTGTTACTGTGACTTGCGTTTGATTTTTTTTATTTTTTTATTCATACCACTCTCATTTAATTGTTTTCCAGCTGCCTGTAAGACGTATTATGAGACGGTATGCAGGAGCTTCAGATACACGTTGCTAGCCAGCACGCTGCGTGCGGAGGCCGCCAGGCTATCTGCTCGGAGTCGGGCCAGACGAAAGAGGGTAAGACTTTATTTGGTGACTATTTTTCAGGTGCATTGATAGATGTGTTGTGTCCATATGCAGTGCGCTGATTCATGTTTTTTTTTTTTTTCAGCTGCTGAAGGCGAGGCAGAGTGTGCTGGCAGATGAGGAAGTGGAACTCTGTAAGTCCGCCACCGTCGACCTCATGTCCGACGAAGAAGATGGCGTCGTCGGCGGTGTCTCTGGATGGATTGTACGGTCGCCGCCATTTCGTAGGCCGGATCTCACTGAACTCTGTGTTAAGCTGCAGTCCCGGTTAGAAGCGATGTCGAAGTACAAGGCCACGCACAGTATGCGTCTGCACATCGGACCTACCTCGGAGGGAATGCTGCCTGTTACCTCCAACCCCGAGGAAGCAAACGGACCGTTCACGGAGTTGTAATTTTTAGATACGCATGTGTTTGGATACCCGTTGTATATAGT